AATGAGAATATGTGATCTGAAGTGTGGACACATACCATATGTAACCTGAAATGAGAATATGTGACCTGAAGTGTGGACACATATGGGTTACATAAATCAGAATATCTGTAACCCATGTGTTGTGACATGTGAAGTGTTGTATGAAAGGTATGTGTGACGTGATATGTAAATCTGTGACCAAGTTCAGAATCCAAATGTGACCTGTCTGCTGTACCAATGACATGTTTTACCGACTACGTGTCGCTATTAGAAATAAAGAATTTGTATAATTTACACAATTTATATAAAAATTAGCGTTAAAATATAATCGAAGATGGATAAATCATGAACTTAAACATGTTAATATCCTTTACTACAAATCAAAGGTTACGAGTTACAATTCATTACATGAAACTCTATTGACCAAACACATGCAATGTTCATAGCATTTAAAAACTAAATCATTGTCTTCACTAACAAATCTAAAGCCACTTTTCATTCTATAACAACAGCTTCCCCTGTCATAGGATGATTTACTTTCTTTGTGTAAACCTGTCGGTGTTTATAGAGCAGCGTAGTAATATTCATTCTGAACTTGCTGGCATCAAACTTCTGAGAAATGGAACATCTACCACCACGAATAAGATACAACGCATATAACACCACGAATATCCCGTAATCATGACTGCAGAACATATGACTGACTGTTATGAATGAATCCATCAAAAGGATATACGCATTGTAAATATTAGTCACAGACTTACCCATTTGTTTGCTGAGAGAGTGTGTCATCAATGATCACTTTCAATTCTTTGGCTTCTGGCTCGTGATAATCAGGATCCGTCTTTGAAATTCCCAGGGTATTCATTAGAGCAGGCAATACCTTCACGTACGGCTCAATACTTTGCAAAATCTTCCAGTCACGGTAAGATTTACCTGCCGAGTTGAACACAGTCAAGGTATGACTTCTAAATTGTAACTGGCCAAGCATCCAATGTGCTTTGTTAGTGGGTATGATCGGTATGAATACAAAGTCAACATCGGCCCAGGGTGAGCTAAAAGGAAGGCTGTGACCTGTTGCAACCTCAAGCAGGCTTGACTCTGACAGTAGAACATTTGGGTCCTTCATGAAGGTAGGAAAAATGTCTTTTATTGTCATCTGGAACCATGAGTTTGTAGTAGTGGCTCTGTATTTCATATTTTTGCTAAGTTTTGCTATCTGGCGAATGAAGTAGAAGCAGGCATCCATGTGCTATTTCAATGAGAAGAAAAGATGTAAGCATTGCGTACTCCAAACTGGATACGAATATAAAATGTGACCTATTTGTATCAAATGTGTCTCTGTGACTAGTTATAATATGAAATGTGACCTATTTGTACCGCACCAATCAATGATGACTCCGAATTTATAAGCTCATGGAATCAGGTCTTATGACCTATTGGGAATGAACCAGTTAGAAAAGTAGGCTTGATGGCGTAATCTTCCTCGCTAAACTTTTTCCTGTGACCGACACTAAAGGTTACATGTGTTTTGTCAAACTGTGTATTGAGTAAATTTTGACAGATAGGTATGAAATGCACTTACTTGTACCCCCTCTGGAACCAATCCATGAAGGCCGGTTTGTCAACCTCGTCAACATTATCTTCGTAATCCTAAAAAACGACAACATTATCATTGTGTTTGAATAATTTCCTTCTCATATCCGGCAACAAAAGGAAACTGCAATACCCTCGATGGCCTTAAAACCCGCTTAACTGGT